GTTGGGGATGGAGGTGATAAATGGGGCGGGGAGACACATCTGTAATACTTTCAACAATAAAGATACTTTTTTTTTTTTTTAGGTTGTAAGAAAAAAACCGCGAATGCTACCTAGCCCTCTGCCCTCATCCTGCGGTCTTTGTGGCTGCAGTTGGAAGGAGGCGGTGAGCCAAGACTTCGAGGCCTCAAGGTGCCCAAAGGCCTGTAGTCACAACAGAAGCGAAGCAGCCGCCAGCAGCCACAGGACCCTGGAACCACATTAGCCTGACTCCCCGCGCAGGCGCTGGGGCAGGGCTGGGGGCTCCCTCAGCACCTTGCCGCCTGCCCTCAGCCAGGCCCGGGGCGCAGTAGCATCACATCCTTCAGCGCCGGGCGCCTGTGCAGTTCGAGGCCCTGCAGGCGCTGCAGGTGTGAGGGCCTTGCCGCCCAAGGAGTCTGGGCAAGCGCGTATTCCTAAAGGCCCAGGATCTCAGCCCTCAGGTGGCGAACCCCACCCCTACCCGCAAAGCCAGTGCTGTAACCCTGCACCCACCTTCCTCTTCCTTTTTTTAAAATAGATCTGTATTGATTTCAGAGAGAGGAGGGAGAGAGAGAGATAGAAACATCAATGATGAGAGAGCCATTGATCAGCTGCCTCCTGCATGCTCCAGACTGCGGGTCCAGCCTGCCACCCGGGCATGTGCCCTGACCAGGAATCAAACCCTGATCGCCTGGATCCTAGGTCGAGGCTCAACCGCTGAGGCACACCCGGCTGGGCCACTTTCCTCTTGATTTGGGGCCAGGGAGCCTGGTAACAGCAGTCACAGCCACAGAGGGAAGTGGGGGGCTCCCTTGTGAAGACAGAATTAAGTAATGGCATCTCCAAAAGCCTTCATGTTCCCTTGAAAGCCTAATGTTTGTGGTCCAGGTGCAGCTGTTTCCAGTGCGCCTGTGAAAACCTTGGCCAGTACCAGCCCGCCACGCCCCCTTGGGGGAGGGGTTTTATGGGCTTTCCATTATCTATCAATTAGCTGGAAATTAAGCGAAATGTGTCCCAGCCGTACAAAGCCTGTTCTGATCGGCTGCTCTCTGCTCAAGGAACATCGGGAGACAGACAGCAGGTGGTGAGGTTCGCCAAAGGTACTGTGCTTCTGCCACTTTCCTGGTTACATTTTCTGATGAAAGCTAATTCATAGGATGAAGCCATCGTATTAGAAAATTTGAGGTGAAAATAGTAAGTTGCACGCATAACAGACTGAGGTGCTGTGAAACCGTGTTGACAGGGATTATAGTTGCTCTTCCAAGTTTCCTCTTTCACCCTATATAGACAGGGAAGATTATTTCCATTGTCTAGCATAGCACCTGGCACATGGTAGGTGTTTGGTAAATACCAATGACTTTATAGTGCTCTGCACATTCTGCAGAGTTGGAGTGCTGGTCCTTCCAGCCCCTGTAAATCTGAATGTATTTTGTCTATGTTGGCACCGCTGTCATTCTTTAACATGATATTTTGTAAAAGAAAACTCTGTGTTCTTACTGTTTGTGGAAGAAATGCTGAGCTTCCCAATGATCTCAAATGCTGAGCAGTGAAGAGAGACTGAAAAACATTGTCTCACTCTGTATTCATGAAATCTGATTAAGATTATCTCTCTTCATATAGTTTTCTTTTACCTCCAAACAAAATGAAAGGACCCCATAATGAAATGGGTGAAGGAAAGATGACTGTTTATTTCAATTGAGCAGACAGGCACGTCAAAGAAATGAAGATGGAACATGTAATCAGAAGTATATTGGGAGAAGGAAAATGGATTCTCTTTAATGATTCACAACAGCCTCATTTATCCCCCACTGTTCCTAGAGAGAAACATGTCTTCAGATAACCGGTGGTCAGCAGGTGAAGATGAAGGCCAGTTATCCCGACTGATCAGGAAATCTAGAGACTCCCCCTTTGTGCCTGTGGGTAAGTACAAGCCGTGACTGGATGCTGGAAAACTTTGTAATAGGACGACAATGCTTTGCCCAGTCTCCTTGAGGACTGAAATGTTTTATGTAATTGAATTTTTTCAAATAATTGAACCTAACCCCTTTTAAGCATGAGTTAAACTTTCAGTACAGTTTCTACCATATGGTAAATCCCCAATAACTGTTAGCAATTATTATTATGGAGCATCAAATTTTATTCTATTTAATCCATCTCCATTAGAGGTCTAACTAAAATTATTAGTTCTCAGCCAGTCTAAGTGGAATTGTTTAATGCACTTGAACTTTTCTGTGATGACTCAGGATCATTAGCCGCAGCCTGAATGTCTGTTGGGACTATGGAGATGGATATGTCTCCTTGTCTTCTAAGTAACTCCAACCTTTAAGTCCTTGGGTCTGATATTTACATTTTTCTGTTTCTTCCATATTGTTGGATGCCCACAAAAACGTCTGCTTCTGATGTTCTCTGGTGCTAGAAGCTAGATATCCAAGTTTAAAAGAACTATGAGTCAGTTCAGACTCAAAAAGCTCTGAATGAAAGCCTGGGCCTACCTGTACCCCTGGGCGCATGAACTTTGTGGTGCTCACGCCCAGTGGCCCTTTTTCCTGCTTCCTGATCTGTTGCTGATGTTGAGGTTGACGGTTAAGTAATCTCTAGATTAAAGGAGTGGTATTATAATTAGACCAGGAGTCTTAGCCTCTTTATCCTTTCTCAGCACATATTTAGTGTAACTTTTTCAACAAATACTAGATGTGGCCTTTTAAAAAACCCCACAAAATCTAAGCACTAATATTTTTAAAATCTAAGCTTCCCCTTTTTTCTTTTTTGGATGCTTCGGCTGCCCTAAGCATTATTACTGTATAATGCAGCCATGCCTCTTTCCTTATGTTAATTTTGTCTGGAAACTGTTAAAATAACCTATTTAAATCAGGCTTCCATAAGTTTGTGATTAATTCCATAAAACCTTCTAAACAGGCATAAGCCATATGTGTCGTCATGTAAATCTGGCAACTTCATGTGTCATTACTCACCTATCAACAAGACTCAAAATTTTACTTTATAGTAATATTGTTTTTAGAAGTTTCACTTAATTTGGTTAACACTTGTAATAGCACCCACAACAAACTGAAGCAAATAATGTTACAGTGATTTATTCACCTTCCTTAGCATTTGTAACTAGGAAAACAAGAACTCGATGCCACTTGCACAGATCACTGTAATGAACAGAGATTAATCACTGTGCCTGCGGTAAATTATTTTTCCAGAGACATTTAGGGTGATTAAAGTAGAAAGATTAAAGTGTTTCCAGCTAAATTCAATTATAGACAAACGACAGAGACACTGTATGGAAAACAGTAAAGGTTCTGACTTTAATCTCTAGAAGCAGCAAAACCAATTTAAGTAAGAACAGAACCTTGATTTGATAAGGGAAGAGAGCCAAGTTTTTGCTAGAAAAATGATAAAACTTGGGCATATATTATTGAATATTCTATTTAGCCATTGTTACTTTAACAATATGTATTTCCTGCTATAGGATGGAGTGTCCAGTGCAGATAATTTACAAGATATTTTTTCTCTGTTATCTTCAACAACTTCCATCTTTATCATCTATATTGTTTAGAAGTGTCCTAGGATCACTGTTAAGACCTGTACATACATTGTATGTATTTAAAGTCTGTGTTTATAGATTGTTTTTGCTTCTTTTACTTAACATTTCACATGTACATTTGTGTGTATTAGTACTTCCTATACTTACAATTTTTTTATAGCTACGGTAGATTTTCCTGTTTGTTTGGGCCATTTGGGTTAATTTTTCTTCATACATAGTGTAGCCATAAACATCTCTGTAGCCATAAACAACTTCTTGAATTTTCTTTTGCTTATTTCCTTGGAGTATGTTCCCAAAGTAGGACTCCCAGGGCAGGAAGCATGTTCAGTTTAATATCACTTACTATATATTTCCAGAGTTCTTTCCAGAAAGATTTAGCTAAACTTACAGAGCTTTCAGCATTGTACCTGTCTCTCAATGTGCCTACCATCATCATTTTATTGTTATTTGAGGGGTTTTTGCTGTGTTTTTTTTGTGCTGGTTTGACATTTTTATTTCAGTTTCATTTATTGCAAATAAACCTATAAAATATACATGTTTTTATTTACTCTGATTCTTATTTCCACTTGTTAAGTGGGTCCTAAAAGAATAAATATTACCTTGCTCACCTACAGAGACACACATGTGCCAACACAGTTAATCAAAACTTGCTATCCTACATAAATATCAATTGCATATCTATGTACTAACAACAAACACATGGAAATCGAATTAAAAACAGAATATCCTTCCTCAAAGTAGAAGAAATTACTTTTTAAAAACAATTTATCTTTACTGTTGAAAGTATTACCGATGTCCCTTTTTTCCCCCCCACTGATCCCCTCCACCCCAAATCCAAGGCCCCCCAGGCCTTCCCCATACTATTGTCTGTGTCCATGGGTTTACAAATATTCATATAAGTTCTTTGATTAATCTCTCTCCACCCACTGCCCCCACCACCGTCCCTCTGAGATTCGTCAGTCTGTTCCATGCTGAAGAAGTGACTTTAAAGAACCTAATTTGTGAATTTGCCAATTTTTTATTTAAATGGTATTGGGAGTAATTTTGTGAAATAAAGGCCACTTGGGACTATTTGAGCAATGTCCAAACCCGCCCCCCCCCAAAAAAACCCCACCCATAATGCCACTTACAATCACTCCAAATAAAATTGATTAGATATCAGCTTAAGAAAACTTGTACAGCCCAGCTGGGAGTGGCTCAGCGGTTGAGCATCGACCCAGGATCCAGGCGATCAGGGTTTGATTCCCAGTCAGGGCACATGCCCGGGTTGCGGGCTCGATCCCCAGTCAGGGGCGTGCAGGAGGCAGCCGATCAATGACTCTCTCATCATTGATGTTTCTGTCTGTCTCTCCCCCTCTCCTTTCCTCTCTATGAAATCAATAAAGATATATTAAAAACAAAAACAAACTTGTACAGAATCTGTATGCTTAAAATTAAAAAATGCTAATGAAAGAAATTAAAGAAGACCTGAATAAATGTAAAGACTATTGTGTTCATGGGTTGGAAGACTCAATATAAAGATGTCAATTCTCTCTAAACTGAGCTACAGGTTTAGTTCAATTCCTTTCAAAATCCCAGCAAGGTTTTTTGTAGACACAGAAAAACTTATTCTAAAATTTATATGGAAAGGCACAAGTCCTAGAATGGTTAAAATATTAAGGCTTATTGTATAGCTATAGAAATCAAGACAGTGTGGTATAGATGGAGGGATAAACGCATAGATCAATAGGATAAAGGAGAGAACCCAAAATATAGGCCAACTTATATTATGCAATTTTTCTTTATTCTTATGTCAAAATACAGCCTCTGTCCTTGTCACTTTAATTCTACCTTACTCTTTTCTTTTTTTAAAAAAATATACCTTTATTGATTTCAGAGAGAGGAAGGGAGAGAGTGAGAGAGAAACATCAGAGATGAGTCACTGATGGGCTGCCTCCTGCACACCCCCTACTGGGGATCAAGCCCAAAACCCCAGCATGTGCTTTGGGAATCAAACTGCAGTCTCCTGGATCATAGGCTGATGCTCAACCATTGAGCCATACTTGGCCAGGCTCTTTTCTTTTTTTAATATCCTCACCCAAGGATATTTTTTCCGTTGATTTTTAGAGAAAGTGGGAGGGAGAGGGAGAGAGAGAGAGAGAGAAACATGAATGTGAGAGAAATATGGATGTGAGAGAGACATATCAGTTGATTGCCTCCTGCATGCACCAAACTGAGGCAAGGATCAAACCTGCAACCCAAGTACATGCCCTTGACCAGGAATTGAACCCAAGACCCTTTGGTGCGAGGGCTGATGCTCTAACCACTGAGCCACACTGGCCAGGGCTGCTTTAGTCTCTTTTAGATGCCATAAATCTGCTATTCTATTTTCTTCTAGTTTTTGTTGTTATTTTTGTTTTGTTTTTACATTTAATTCTAACCCATCCAGAATTTTTCTGTAGGGTCTGGTGTGAGATAGAAATCCAAGCTAGTTCTCTATACCAATAAGTTGTGCTCATAATATTTATTAAATAATTATTCCCTTATCTGTTATTTGGTTATTTTGATTTGTCACGGATTAAGTTATCACAGTGCTTTAAATTTCTTTCCAGGACCTTTCCTATTCAGCTGATCAGTTTTCTGTTTTAGAGCCAAGTACATAGGCTCTTGGTTGCCCAGCAGAATTTTCACCTTTAACATTTATAGGGAATACAGAAATATTTGTATGGGTTTCTGGAGCTTTCTAGAATCACAGTTCTCCCTGGAATCACGTCCTTCCCATGCATCCCTCATTAGTACTTAATGTCTCATTTTTACAGAAGATCCAAGTTTTGATCACTTTGCTTGATTTACTCCTTACCTGATAACAAGTAGAAGGAATAAGCCACTCAGAAGCCTGGGCTGTTCAGTAAGTTCACTCACCACTGAAGTGACCTGCCCGAATAAAAGCCTTGCGGCACAACTCAAAACCATGCCTCAGAAAAATTAGAAGTTACTAAGCCAATTACTACTGTATGGTTCAGGTTTTTCTGGGAAAGGCTAAACTGCAAATATTGAATCCATGAAAGTTATGGGGAATGTTTAAAATCTGGTGAATGAAACCCAGCATGACTCCTTTGGTGTCTTGCCTGCTCGTCTTCTAAGTACTAATCCTGTGACAGTCCTTCATTCACTCTCTAAGCTTGTGGCAATTCCAGCCTGCTGTTTATATAATCCCTCCTTTTTTCACTCACAGGGATAGTGGGCTTTATGACTGTGGTGTCCTACGGTCTTTACAAGTTAAAGTACAGAAGAGATCAGAAGATGTCCATTCATCTTATTCACATGAGAGTTGCTGCCCAAGGATTTGTTGTAGGAGCCGTGACTCTAGGTAACCTGCTTAATTTGTACCTTGTGTTCAGCTGTCTTTGAGAGTATTTTTATTTATTTTATTCATTCATATTAGAAGATGACTGTTGGGTGATGATATAATGGTGGAGGACTGGTAAGAAAAACAGTGTTCTTCACTTGGTTGAGGTTGCTGCCCTGTTATAGGTTGAATTTCTTAAAATTTTAAGCATCTAGAAAACCCACAGTAGGCAGAAGGTACAGACTTCCAGTTATGAAATAAATAAGACATGGAATGGAATGAACAGCATGGCAGCGATAGTTAATAATACTGTGCTGCATATTTGATAGCTGCTAAGGGTAGATCTTAAAAGTTCTCATCACAAGGGGAAAAAGTCTGTAACTATGTATGATGACAGATGTTAACTAGACTTATTGTGGTGATTTCACAGTATATACAAATATCGAATCATTCTGTTGTACACCTGAAATTAATATGATGTTGTATGGCAATTCTGCATCAACTGTTTTAAAACCCAGTGGAGAACTAGGTTATGGGTTCTGTTATCCTCCACGAAAGGGGCAGTGAATAGCTCGTACCCTGTCCAACAGCTGAAAGCAGTATACATCCCAGCCTTTATTGCTCAGTGAAGGGCACCCGTCACTGTTCCCAGCCTGTTTGAACAGCAGATATAATTACTAAGGTAGTTTAACTGGGAAGAAAACATTTTTAGAGTCCACAAGTCTCAATATCCTTGTTCTCCTTTCATCCCAAGTCTGAGCAATAGGAAATCTTTTTTTTTTAAGAAGACTGACTTTTTTTTTTTTTAATATATCTTTATTGATTTCAGAGAGAGGGAGAGGGAGAGAGAGAGAAACATCAATGATGAGAGAGTCATTGATCAGCTGCCTACTGCACACCCTGACTGGGGATGGAGCCCACAACCCGGGCATGTGCCCTGACTGGGGATCGAACCGCAATCTCCTGGATCCTAGGTTGATACTCAACTGCTGAACCACGCCTGACTGGGCAGGAAATCTTTTTTTATTAGTCTATAAATTAAGCAACACTCATACAATCAAATCCAGAGAACAGGAGTAAAATTATCTGGTTAATTCAGGTTATATCAACAGCTAAGTCATGTAGTTCTAACAAGAAGTCCACTCTGGGACCTAAATTATCTAACTTTTTTGGTCTGTATTAACGAGAACAAGTCACAGTGTTCTTAGCCCCCTTCCACACGGTATACAGTAGACTCAGCTAAGAGTAAGTCTAGGACTATGGAGATGGGTGTGGGGCTTGCACACAGGGAGATAAATGCTAATTATCTTATTACTATGAGCTGTGATATGGAAGTCTTGAACAAAATACAAAAAGAAACTTTCTAAAGTTAGAGTCCTCGTTTTTGTCATTCAGCAAATAGTGCTGAGCAAGGCACTGAACTGGTCTAAAGATATAGAGGTAAGACTCAGTCCCTCCCCTCAAGTAGTTTAGTCTCCTTAGGGAAAGAGACCAAGAACAGAAGAAAATACAAAGTCATACGTCTATGGCAGAGATAACACAGGTACTATGGAAGCACAGGCACAAAGGAGGGGCACTGAACTGGCGCTGAGAGTCCAGGAGGCTTCTCTAAGGATGTAAACTGTACTGTGAGCTGAGAATGTGGAGGAATTAACTAGGCAGAGAAGGAGATGAGGATTCTAGGCAGAGGAAAAGCAAAGGCATGGGAACGTGGCATGTTAGTGGAACTGTAGAGATCCCTATGTAGATGAATCAGTGTTTGATGAGAGAAGCAGAACTAGTAGTAATATAGAAGAGACTTATTACAGGTATTTGGACTTCTATAACTATGAAGCTCTTGCTTAGGAATCAGACGCTGGGGTCTGAAGTGGGCAAGGCAAGCAGTTAGGAAGAAAAGAGAGCGATAACTGGCAGAAGCAAGAAAAATCTGGAACCTGCAAGGATGAGCTGGAACACACAGGATTGGCTGTGTTATGCCAAGTGCTGAGGTCCCAGAAAACCTCAGCCTATTTGTTCATGGATCCCAAAGAAATAACCCCGAGGACTGGCTGTGAAAGACAGCCGGTGCAGCCAGCCGGTGCTGTTGTTTCGCCGCCACCCAGACTTTCCCAGCACAAGGTTTTAAAGAGTACAGAAAACAGAGGAAAAAACAGGGCATGCAGGGTGAGGGGGACGTGCATGAGATCAAAACACTAGCTGTTTTCGTGACTGAGGAGCTGGCGAGGCTCCCAAGGTCTTACAGTCTGCTTACTGATGACCTTCATCGTCTTCCCACAGGGTGGGAGGGGGAGTTGGAGCATGGGAAGGGGCCCATGTTCCCATTTACCATACAGACTGGAACCCTTGTGGATTTCTTACCATCTCTAAAACCTCCAAAGTCGATGATGGGAGCAACACAGAAAAAGCTGCTGCCCTGTATTCTGGAACTAAAACATGGGCCTGGCCAAGGAGTCAGAGAAGGTGGAGGAGAAATTCAGCAGGAGCCACAGCAGCTGCATTCCTGATTGCGACGCCAGGCCCACAGGATGGACATGCTGCAGCAGTGCCTCCCGAGCAGAAAGGATCTGGCTGCTGCTCCATTCTGCCTTCTAAATCTCCTGTAAAATGTCTCTTGGGCAATAACTCAGGGAACAAAAGGAATTCTTTTTTGGAAGTCATAAAGCTTTCAGGTTCCTCACAGGACCTAGAGCTAGGAATTAAAAGCCCTGAGCCCACCATTTAGTTTTCCCAAGTTCTCTGGCACACTTAGAAGTAACCAACCTTATATTCCTATTTCCACTAAATGTCCCATGGAAGTAAATACTTGATCACCAAAACCTTGTTTTCTATAGGCACCTGATTAAGGGTATTTACAGGTGATAATTTTACAAAACGTTTTGTTACTGCATGCTAGCATCCTCTTTACCACTGGAAAAAATAGCCATTAATACCTTTAAGTCTACTCAGACCAGAGAACCAATTCCAGATAACTGGGAACCAACACAAAGAACTTATCCTCATGGTTATGCCCCTCTGGAAGCTTCCAGTACCAAACTCTATAACCATCAGGGTTCAATCAGAGAAGGAAAACTACTAGAGATGAAATATAAAACAGGAATTTATTATAGAGATATGATCTTAAGCAATTTTGGGAGCTGGTTAAATAGTCCCTGTTGGGTTTGTTGCTTATGTTTCTAATGCTGGGGCCTGAAATTAGCAAGGCAGCAGTTGGGAAGGAAAAAGAAACCAGAATCTGTAAGGACAAACTGGAACCCACCATGACAGACGGGAACTTGAGTCAGTCTCTTACTGACTCCAACTCTGACCGTGGTTGACCTGTAGGAGAAACAGCACCTGTGGATGGAGCTCATCCACACCTGGCCTAGGAGCCGGCGCAGCTGAGGAGGAGACCCAGATGGAGCGGAAGGAGCTGTGGGCCTGCTGCCCAACAACAGTGAGGTGAGCCCGCGGGTAAACAACATGCACAGGCTGTCACTGCACCTGGTGCCCTGCACCAAGCCTTCCAAGTGTAAAAAGGACACGGCAGCTGCTGCTTCAAAGTTCACCTCCGCGTCTCAAGCAAAAGGTCTCATTCTGGAAAACATAGCCAAAGCTTAGTTAAATGTATATAAAACAAATCCCCAATAGATTTTTATGGTTGTGAGATGAAGAGTAATTTGATGAAGTGAGCCAGTGAAGGGTTTAAATGGGGGAGCAGCATGGACAGAATGGCAGTTTAGAAGATGCCTGCTTTATAAAAAGATCAGACACAGGAATACGAAACTGTCTGTTCAGGGATACTAACAGACAGTCACACTATAAAGACAAGGAAGGAAACTATTATCATAAAACAGCGGCTACCTATGGAGAAGAGGGGCATATGGTCAGAAAGGGAAACCTGGGAGGTTTCTAGGATGCCTCCAATATTCTATTTCTTCACCCATAATTATAGGTGTTCACTCTACAACTACTTGTTAATCTGGTCACTTGTTTCATGTACTACTATTTTCCATGCTGATTATATGTCACCATGAAAAAAAAAAGTTAAGAGGAAAAAGAAAATTAGAGATTTGAAATGGAGGGGAGAAAGTAAAGACAGAAGTTAGATGACGACTTAGATCTGAATTAAGGCAGTGCAGTGGAAATAGAGAAGAAGAGATTAATTCTAGAAATACTGAGGACTCGGCAACTAAGTGTATGGAAAAAGAAAGGAAGGAGGAATTTAGGATGATTCCCAGGTTTCTGGTTTGAGCAACCAGAAGTAAGGGTTGCTTTTCACTCACATAAAAAACAAAGAAGAAGAACTAAGTTTGGTGGGAGGATGAGTGCATGATAGCTAACACTTAATGAGTGCTTATGATGTGCAAGTCACTCTGCTTTATGTATTATCTCATTTAATCTTAACAAATGCCTACTTTGACACCAGTGGGTTTACTGATGCTCACCACCTGGAGTTCATATCAGATGCCATAGGTTTAAGGACATAGTTCCTAAAAAGACTGCCCTTACTTCAGACACCAGCCTTTGGGGGTCCCCAGGCCATCTGCACTTCTGGTAAACTGGCTACAAATTCAGGGGTTCCCAAGACTCCCTCAGGTTTATTTTCCTAGAACACCTTACAGAACTCAGGAAAGCAGTGTACTTACAATTACACTTTTACTATAAAGTACAAATCTCTACCAGCCAAATAGGGTAAGGTCTGGGAGGACTGCAAGCTCAAAACTTCTGTGGAATCGGCATGTCACCCTCCCAGAGTACCAAGGTGTTTACCAATCAAGAAACCCCACTGAACTTCAGTGTGCAGAGCTTTTATTGGGGCTTCATATGTAGGCATGGCGGATAATCACTGGCCACATGACTGAATTCAACCTCCAGTCCTACTCCCTTCCCTGGAGGTCTCAGAACCCTCTGGTCACATGGTCGGTCTTTCTGGCTGACTAGCCACATCTGGAAACTATCTAGGAGCCCACCAGGAGTCACCTCATTAGCATAAGTTCAGGATCCAAGGGGCTCATAAATAACAAAGACACTCCCGTTACTTGGGAAATTCCAAGCATTTGAGATCTATACCAGGAACTCTGAACAAAACCCAAAGTCTTTATTAAACAACAATGCCCTGTGAGGTAGGTACTGTTATTATTCCATTTTACAGATAAGAAAACTGAGGCTTACAGGGGATGTTACCTGTTCACAATCACATGGGCAATCTACTCCAGAGCCTGAGCTCTTAATTTTATATTATACTGACTAAGATGCCTGCGGCAGATGTTTCCAAATTGCAGTACTCATACCCTAGCAGATGTATAAGGAGATCCATGGGGATTTGGGAAGAAAATATTATCTTAAAAAGCTTTATTAATATATAGACTGACCATAGGACATTTATACTGTTTTTTAAGAAATACCATCTTGAGGGGCGCGCTCAACATTTACTTATGCACAATTTAAAAGTCTGGAGACCACCTTCCTATGGGATACAGAAATATCACATATGCTACATTTAATATATATGGGTCTCAGAAGAGAGACCTAACTTAAGAGATCTTTCTTAGCAGTGAAGCAAAAGGTGTGAAAAGAGTTTAGATCAGAACTCCAGGGAACACCATTTGAGAGGTGGGCAAGAGGTAAGAATTCCGTGTCTGGAAAGCATCGGGAACAAACGGAGAGAATGCCATTTGATGATGCAGGCAGAGGTTGGAGTGCAGCAGCAACAGGCCAAGGAGCGCCAAGGAGCACGGCAGCTGCCCGAAGCCAGGAGAGGCGTGGAGCATTCTCCCCGTGTCCTCCAGAAAGTACCAAGCCTGCTGATTTCAGACTTCTAGGCTCCAGAACCGGGAGGCGATGCATTCCTGTTTTAAGCCAGAAGAGGAAGAGAGGAGAAGGAAGCAGATCCACCAGCAGCAGCAGCACAGGGAAATGAGTCCTGTCATTCGCTCTGAATCTGACAATGTTATTTCCATCGATACCACAATGATCAAGTTAAAAATTTTTGTCCTGAATTTCATGCATCTATGATAGTTATCACACTTTCTTTAGGAAACTGTGCAGACATCTGCCTCACTTTGCTGTCATGTTGCGATAACAACAACGAACTTACTGACCCTTTAACCTCTGAGTACTCTTTGGAGATATTAACAAGCAGTGTCTGAAAGAAAGCGGGAGAACCTGAAGTAAAGGGTTTAGTTTAGACAACCTACTAGATAACTGATGCCTTGATAACTGATATGGACAGGACGGGATGAGTTATAGTTTAAACCTGTGACTTCTTAACTTGCTTTGGGTATAAACATTTGCTACACCCCTGGAATTCACTGAAGCAGCTCCTTTGCTCCTCACCCTGTTCCTACTTCGGCCTTTCTGCATGGCCCTAGGACCTTATCTTGTGGCACATACACACCTATCTCATCTGCCTCAACTCAGAGCTGCTTCACCCATTAGCCTGTCAATCCCTAGAAGCAGAGATTAGATCTATATACCCTTGTTTACCTCGGGATTCTGAGCACAGGCAGACACCAAAGAGATACTGGTTAAGTTGAGATGCCTATTATTTTTAGTCTTAATACCCACCCAAATATTTCCACTCTCCTAACTTTTTCACCAATATTTTAAAATTCAAACTTTAGGATGGCATTAAACTTCATAAATTCATATTTATACTAATCTTAAATGGCTCGTTTGTTTTTTCTTTTCTGGAGCCACTTGTATAATCCAAGCCAAAAATTAGTGAGATGAAAGGTGTTTGTTTTTAAATTATGGGCTAGTGCCTGGCCGGGTGTGGCTCAGCAGTTGAGCGTCGACCTAGGATCCAGGCGATCAGGGTTCGATTCCCAGTCAGGGCACATGCCCAGGTTGCGGGCTCAATCCCCAGTCGGGGGCGTGCAGGAGGCAGCCGATCAATGATTCTCATCATTGATGTCTCCATCTCTCTGTCCCCCTCTCCTTTCTTTTCTCTGAAATCAATAAAGATATATTTAAAATCAATCAATAAATAATAAATTGTGGGCTAGTTTTGAAAAAATGCAACTGGAAGAACTTCAGTGTTTGTTTACAATGGATGCTCTACTGATATACATCTTTTTGTTTCTAGGTGTTCTCTATTCTATGTATAAGGATTACATTAGACCTCGATTCTTCAATGTGTCCAAAAAATGAAGCTAAATACAAAAAAGACAAGAAGGCATCTGAAAACTATTATGAAGAATGAATTTTCAATATATAGCAAATTATACTGCAGAAGTATTAGATAGAATTTTCATAGCCTGGGGTAGTAAGTCTCACTTGTTTAAGAAGTTAATTTCCAAAGCAATAATCATAGTCAACTCAAAAATATCCTTGTTGATATCTTTCAGAACCTCAGGCATGGTTTTCTGACTTTAAAATTTTTATTTTGTAGTGACAGAAAATAATCTATATTATGACAAACCAATCTTAAAATTAGGAGTTAGCTATACTTAGAGGCTACAGAAATTTTTTTTATACCCATATTAAATGTGACAATCTATTCATTGCTTATTTCTCCCCAAATAAGGTAAGGTAATTAATGGTTTCATAAACTCGGTTTTAAAATGGGTGGCAATTACACCAGAGGAGAATGGGCATGCTATTTAAACTTGGTTCACCACTGTGGACCTCACTCTTATTTATATAGAAACTTGACTCTTCTACCACAAACATAAATGTTTAACATTTAAATATCTGTGTGTTCATTTTTATGTTTCTTAAAAGCATTTCTAGGAGTACAAAGGTAAAATGCTAAGAAAAAATAATCCTTTTTCCCCCAGATAGCAGTATTGTGGGGGTAAAATGATTTAGTCCAGACATGCTATTGCTAATCTCATATGACACCGTAGAAAACACAAGAAACCAAAGTACACATTAAGTATTAAGTATGCCTCTGGCCTCAAACTCCCCTGTAACTACACTAGGGTTCTAAAAAAATTTACTAGACATTGTTGCAGTCATAGCTGCTCTGACTCAGATGTACTCCCTAAGACTCCAAGCCTGGAAAAGAATCCCCCCCCCAAAAAAGATTCACTGAAATAAATCCAGAATATACTGTAAAACAATCTGTGGTGGTGGTTTTCTTTTCCTGCAGTGGAGGGTTATTCTGACAGGAAAGTGAGTCTAGTATTTGAGGAAGTGAAAGATGTAGAAACATCTGAAAATATGTCTGCATTCTAGGTATTAATCCACTGTTCTGTGTATTATATACACTTCTCTCCATTGGCACAGAGATTATTTTAAAAGTTGTCATTTGTGTCCATCATGAGGTTCTTCTAGTGCCACCAACAAATACACATATTTTGGTCAACACTGTCCTCTTTGGAAAATGGGCAAGGAAAGAATTCAACTACTTTATTCCACTGGAGAAAATATTCCAGCAGCTGGGTCTAATATGTTCCATATGAAGGTCAGGAAAACTGAGGACAGCTGGCACAGAACGTCATCCTACAAAGACGCTCTTTAAAAAAGAAACGTTATCCTTCATGTTGATCACACAATGAAAAGATCAGGCTACTGGAAAGATTCCACTCTCAATAAATACTCAGCATTAAAAATAGATTAACTGAATGTTCAATTAGAGACGGCTTTCTCACAAAACCCAAAAGGTTCCAGGATTTTCTAATCTTACTGAGAGAACTACAATAATACATTTATTGCTTGAAAAAAGCAATGCAAAGTATTTGTTTATTAGAGTAGCTATGGGTGAGAACTCACCAATTATGTGAAGAGAAGTATGCACGATGCTCATTTACCCACATAAGCTTGTGTAAAGAGGAAGGGCCACTGCAGGAAGACCCTATGAATAGATAATATACAGTACCTGAATTTGCACAATACTTGTGGGGCAAAGCTTTGGTGGCTTAATATCATAATGTTTAAAACTGAGAAGGCTATTTTATATTAGGTGACACACAGTTATGCAGCAGCAGCTGCTCAGTAACAACTATTTAATTGCATTTTTCTGACACAGGTATACATTGCCAGAGCATCCTTTTACAAATTGACACCAGTGTTAAACCCCAGAGATTGAGTGAGTGTATACTCACTCTAGGCTACTCTTCAAATTGAATATATTAATATCTATATAAGCACATAAAATAGAAATCCAGATTTTTTAATCATAAGTTAGAGAATGATAAAATGTTCTCAGTAAAAAAGCTTACCCAAGACTCACTCTTTAGACATCAATCTCTTCAACTGGTTTTAGCATGATTCAATTTGCTTTATCATCAAATTTTCTGATTACAGGAGTAATATGATCTGAAGGATACAGAAATCCCCCAAGTACATAATCTGTTTAACCAACTACCTCATCATTTTATGAGTTACAATTTTTTTTTTTTTTGCCTTTTTTTTTTCTTCTTTCTCCACACATTCTCTGGGAATAAAACTCCTGGGAAATGAAGCTGTCCCGGGAGGAAGGAAAATGGAACAAACTGTTGCATTTAGAGTTGCTGTCTGTGCATAAAGAAACCAAAACAGTGAAACTTATTTAAAAAATCTCTTTTTCAAGTGAAAGTGCTAATTGATGTTAATTTGGTTTCATTTTTAAAATCAGAAGGACTTGCCCTGGCCGATGTGGCTCAGTTGTTTGGGAGTCCTCCCATGCGCTGAAAGGTTGCTGGTTCGATTCCCAGTCAGCATGTGCCTGGGTTTCGGGCTCTATCCCTGGCAAGGGGTGTGCAGGAGGCAGCTGATCGATCGTTTTCACATCGATTTTCTCTCTCTCTCCCTTCCTTTCTCTCTAAAAATCAATTTTAAAAATCTACAACAACAAAACCAGAAGGACTCTAAGCTGGGTTGCAAGGCTGCTGCTCTTAGCAGAAGTTTCAAGGACCCCCTGAAGTACAAATGAGGGAATTTTAAAATACCATCTTAGAAATATCCCTGCCACTTAGACAAACCATTATAAATAAATATAGGCAATTGTTCAGATTTTTAAAAAGTCTTATTGAAAGGTACTAAGTTTAAAAATAAGGCAGGGAGGTCAGATATTTAACTTTTATGCTGAAGGAAGAAAATGATGCTCAAAGTCACACTAAGGCCGCAGGGTTTACAAACTCAATGCCTATAGGGCTGGAAGGAAATGAGTGAAGAGGTGTATCCACCCTGAAGTATATTCCATTAAAAATGAATAGCTGCTGCCCTGGTCAATGTGGTTCAGTGGTTAGAGCATCAGCCTGTGCACTGAGGGTCTCGGGGTTCGATTACCAGTCAAGGACATGTGCCTGGGTTGGAGGTTTGATCCCCAAGCCCCAGTTGGGGCACGTTCAAGAGGCAACCAATTATCTGTTTCTTTCTCTTTCTCTCCCTTCTACTCTCTTAAAAAAAAAAAAAAAAAAATCAATGAAAAAAATATCCTCAGGTTAGGATTAAAGGAAAAAAAATGGATAGCTGCCATTCAGTTCCAGACAACTGCACTTCCATGCAGGAACATGAGCCCAGTGTTGAAAATCTTCTGACTTTTCAGATAATCACGTAGAAACTCCATTTTCAAATATTAAATTTTTATTATAAAAATTTTAAGGAAAAACAATCCTGGTTAAGAAGAGGGGTTAAAAAAAGTCTATAACCCATATCCACATATAGGCAGGCAGTTTGTGACAAGTGGACTAATCTTCCAAGTGCCAGTCTAGTTCTAATCTCATATTACTACTTGGTATAAATATCTTGAAATAAAATGCGTAGCATTCCTTAGGAGATTCAACACTAGAAATATAAGCCACTCCTGGAAATAAGCTTTGGACCTAGAAATGATGTTGGACTGTTAATAGGAAAAGTGGGAAGAAAAGACATGGTGGGACTATACAAATATTAGAAAGAAAATGAATACCTCCATTATCTTCTGTTGGGATTTACAAAGTTAAGTATTAGATGGTTCTTTTTATACCTAAACTTTGGATGCTAGAATGGGCTGCATTACACAATGCAGCATGGAAAACTGATCATTGGTTAAAGTATGGTTTCTGGCCCTGGCCAGTGTGGCTCAGTTGCAGTGTTGTCCAGTACACCAAAAGGTGGCTCGGGTTCGATTCCCGGTCAGGGCACATGCAGAGGCAACCACTCAATGTTTTTTTCTCTCTCTCAAATCAATAATAATTTTTTAAAAAGTATGGTTTCTGGATCTTGTTACTAGGTATTAAGCTCTTTAGAAAATACCATCACATCTGAAAAAAACCTCAAGGAAAGCAACAAGAGGATAATATTTATAAAGCACACTGATAACTAGGATTAAATATGATTGCCACATGTAAGAAATGTTTTCTTTAGAAATGATGCGCTAGCCCTGGCTGGTGTTACTCAGTGGTTAGAGCATCGGCCTGCACACTGAAGGGTCTCAGGTTCGACTCCCAGTCAAGGGCATGTAACTGGGTTGTGGGTTCAATTCCCTGGCCCCAGTAGGGGTGTGTGTGTGTGAGGCAATCAGAGGCAACCGATCAATGTGTCTCTCTCACACTGACGTCTCTCTCTCTATCCCCCTTCCACTCTCTCTGAAAAGCAATGGAAAAATTATCCTCGGGTGAGGATTAAAAAAATAATAATAATGTGCTAGTATCAGTAGTTACTGATTGATTGAAGGGCCTGGTTGATTAAAATTGAAGTGAAATTTGACTGGACACAGTCAAGCACCACTTAAAAAGGTAAGTCAATTTGACCAGTTCATTCTGAAAAAGAATGTTACTCCCTTTCCTTCCTCACTTGTGATCCAGACAAAACAAATATCTGATTTGTCTGAACAGTATGGTTTTTAAAAATACAAAAGATCTATCAACTTTTATAACCTTAAAATTCTACCCAAACTGTTATGTTCAGGTCTACATAAATACATATATATTTTTTTAATTCCAGGAGTTAAGACACAAGCCCATAGGGGTGTGTGGCCATCACAAGCCAATCAATTAACTCCGGCTGGTGAAGGACTGTTGTGAGGTGGGTGGGTCTCTGACCTACACTTAACAGCTGTCAGCTTTTAACAGTCTTCCCATGAGGAAATCTTTGCCTTTTGTTCAAAATATGTGAACAAAACTCACCTCTGAACTAACAGAGATATGTTAATGGGAAACTTGGCACAACGGACTAAGATAAAATGGTTCTTATACACTCTCGCAGGCTGTCAGTCATCTAGACACAAGTGAGTCGGCATCCATGGTGTTCAGAAGGTAGAGTTCAGGCTGAGCTGTCAATCCCACATGGTACTAAGGACAAAAGATGGAAAAGAGTTAGACTGGTTTGTAAGCATTTAAATATTAAAATTGGCACTTAAGTATCTATAAATAGCACATCGATATAGGCTTTTTTTCAGTACTGCTATGCTGATTTTTATTTCAGAAAAGAAATGGCTTACCCATACATAATTTATGGTATATGAAAAAATAGGTAGGAACTGAAATAGTTAAAGGATTGAGAAAGTGCCAAATGCCCTTAGCACAATTTGCACTTTGACTATTCTTGTAACACCCCTTGCCTCAGGATGGGTGTTTCTGATCAGGATACTAAGGGCAAATGCACTGACTGCTTTCGTATTTTAGTAGTGTATATGTGTTAGACATCAAATTTCAAATGGTCTAAATCCTCAGCCCCATTACCCTTTGGCACCTGGGCAAAGTCTTTCATTAAACATACACACACAAAACAGCATGTGCTGAGAGAGAGGGAGATGACCTATTTTGAATTTGAATCACCAGCTGCTTTCAAAACACATGGCAGACCCTTCTCCTGGAGACCAGAATCCAGATGGTTTGTGTTGGCATCTGTGAAGCTATATAACTTTTTCTCTCCTCTGCATACACTGTGGGATAACCACCGAGTCTCATTTTAGCCCTAATGTTATTACTCAGGCTTTAGAAATGCTACTGCCCCTTGGCACCAGCAGCCTGTGAATGAATGCAGAATGCAGACTATAAATCCACAGGAAAAAAATATTCCTGTTATAGTACAGTGGAAAAGGCACTGGGGCTGGGTTCAAGTTCCAACTCTGCCACTTCCCATAACCTTGAGCAAGTCAGGTATCCTTTTGGAGCCTTATCCTACTTATTTGTAAAATGGGAAAAAATGCTACCTTTGCAAATTCCAACTACTTTAATATACTATCTCATGTTAGTGTTCAATAACCGTAATTTCTTTTAACATGTTACAAATTGCTCTGCATACCTCACAGGCTTGTAAAGACTGCCTAGAGATGAGTCCAAATAGAGCCCAAGATAAAACTAGTCTCAACTAATGGGCTAGGAAATAGAGTCACACTGGCCTTAGGGCAGAAAAACAGCTCTTCAGACTTCAGCATGCTTATTCACTTTAGGGTTTTACATTTCGGATTTTCCTAATCAAGAGCACTTGTCAGATATACTGACAATTCACTGCAGCCTTTTCTCAAATGAGCTAAGGTGGTGGACTTCCTCATGTAGTAAGCAAGGACTGCATTATTAGTCCTGTGATCACCAGAGTATATCATGTAAGTGACTTTAAATAGAACTCCTTCACTGGAGAAGTTTGTCATATTGCTCTCAGACATTGAGAAATGGGGCTAAATGGCAGACATGGGCTAACTTTCAGGGGCAGAGAGGTAATACAAATGAGTAAACCTACTACTAGTTCTTAGCTATTGCCTGGGCAGGATCATAGAGGGCCTGCCCATTTTCTACACCTGCCCAAAAGCATTGTTATTTTCCTTTTTTTTAAAGTTTAGCACAGGCCAAACAAAATTAGTTTACCAGTTGGCAACTTCTGGGCTAAAACATATTCTAACACTAATCAGAGTATCAAGCAAATGCTTCCATGTGTTGTTGTTTCTGGTGCTAACATCAAAGCTTGGTGTCTTAAACTCACACAAAGGGTGTACTATACAGGGTGTCCCAAAAAAGTGTATACAGATTTTGAATGATTATAAAGTCAGTGTTTATTTTTATTGCTTTATTTTTAATCTTCACCTGGGATATTTTTTTTCATTGCTTTTCAGAGTGGGAGAGAAACACCGATGTGAGAGAGACACATTGATTGGTTGCCTCCCACATGTGGTCAGGATTGAGCCTGCAACTGAGGTACAAGCCCTTGGCTGGAATCGAATCCAGGACCCTTCAGTCCATGGGCTGATGCTCTAACCACTGAGCAAAAGCAGCTAGGGCAAGTCAGTATTTATTAATAAACAGTTCATTTTCAAAACTGAGTTATCAGCTCTTAAAGTATGTGTACATTTTTTGGGGACACCTTATATGTTATATAGGATGGTTGGTGATAATGTGGGCCCTGCAGTTTATCTATTCACATTCAAGTGCCAACTGCCCATTAGCAATGTAATTTGGGAAAGTTATTTTATTTTTTGGCCTTTCAGTTGCCTCATCTGTATAGAAGTTGATCCTCTTGTTTTAAGAATTAAATTAGATAATGAGTACTTAGACCAGGACTACTACATAGTAGTAAGTGTCAGCTGTTTTACACATTCAGAAGCTAAGGTGTCAAGAGAGGCTGATACATTTTGATTCACTGGTGCTATCCAACGAAGGAGCAGAAAGAGTTCCAGAGGGCAGAGCTAAAGGGAGTTTCTCAACTCAGGATCTTCAAATTGTTATGCATCCTATTTTAGTTCTGAAATTGAACCCGAATTAAGAAGGGAGGTAAATGAGATAGGACAACAGGGAGAACAAAATTCCCAGCTGACTTCCACGGTGTTACCTAAGTATTCAGCTCCTGTAAGACAGGGAAAGCTTGCAACATAAAAAGGGAAAATGAAGTTCTATTGACACTTGGGACAAATGAAGTGCTTAGATTTTCCCGTCTGTGCCTGCTGACAGGGCTGGTAGTTCGCTGTGCCTGAACCTGTCTTTGTTTTTACTAAACGGTGCCAATATTCCCATTTATATCGGGTCTGCCAAAATGCTCACTGATTTTTTTTAAGCTAAACAGTTTTGGTTTCTCTTTTCAAATATTCCTAGTTTTTATTAGCAGTATATACAAAATATAAACACCCATTTCAATGGTGAGACAAGACTACAGGTAGAAAAATATTCAGTTTAGAGCAGAAAAAGGCAGAATAACAATTTTTTTTCAAGTTTAATTATGGAAATGATGTGACCTTTAGCAACAGCAAAACCATCTGACTAAGTGGGTGAATAGAAGTTAGTGTTTGGTGTCTGCAATTCATCAAGTTTTCTAAGGACTAAACATATTTATTTCTCTATATCTTCTACAGAGGGAATACAAACAGGGTGGGCTTAACAAGTCATTCCAGGTGGTAGTTGATGTTTCAGTATTTCAAAGTTGTTGAAACCCTCATTAATACAGTATTTTCAAGGTTAAAAAAAAATACCCAGGAAACCAAACTGGAAAAGGAAAAATGTTTTTAATTACAAACCAAGTTTACATATTGTTAAACGTTCAGTAAAAGCTCACTTGAAACGACTCCCAAAACCACTACCACAACCTCACAGGAGCCAAACTGCAGCTCTTCTCCACCCGTTAATTCCTCATAAGATGGAGCAGAACAGTTATTTCATGTCACATTTATGGAGAACAAGGACCGATTTACATAAAGTACAACTGTATATCCTTAAACAGTCCATGCCAAGACACTGCCAAGACACTGCACGTGCTGGCCCTGGAAAACCTGAACATTGTTCACTGCACCCAGAGTGCTGGCTGAAGTGCACTGTCTGAGAGGACCAAATGCGTTTGTAACACTGTGAAATACTACATACATGTATTATAAAATGCCATTTTATTGGGAAGAAATTTTCCATCACTGCAAGTCATAAATACAACTTTTAAAAGAAAACTGACAGTTTTTACCTGGGCTGCTAAATATTTGTGAATCTGAGACTGGCTGGGGGGACCCAGACTCAGGGCAAAGGTAAATGTTTCTGTACCGTCTTTACTAAGAATTTTTTGGTCAATTTGGCCCTCACCTACTGTAGCCAGACCTACTGCAGCTTAAGATGTCACTCTCTGATATCTTCACAGGAGAAAGGGGGGGATATGAAAAGGAACAGTTAGGGAAATTTGTCTTTTCACGATCCTGTACTATATTACTTGAGCGGCTAAGATAAAGGTATGGTCAGTGAAACAGTAGTTTGCCCTTAAAGACTTTTTATAAAAGCCTGGCCGGGCGTGGCTCAGGGGTTGAGCATCGACCTAGGATCCAGGCGATTGGGGTTTGATTCCCGGTCAGGGCACATGCCCGGGTTGCGGGCTCGAGGCAGCCGATCAATGACTCTCTCATCATTGATGTTTCTAGCTCTCCCTCTCCTTTCCTCTCTCTGAAATCAATAAAGATATATTTAAAAAAAAAAAAAAAAGACTTATAAAAGACAATCTATCCAGTCTGCACTTTTGACTGTGTGCAAAATATCAGCAATAATGCCTTTAAGTGCTCAAATGAACAGAGAACATCAATCCACCAGGACTCTAGAAGGAAAGCACCTCCAAAATGAAAAGTCATTCAGTGCCATTCCCATTACTGTCCTCACCAAGTCAACAGCTATAAAAGACTTGATTATTTGTTTCCATCACACAAATGTGATCTGACTTGAGATAATCACATAGTCTTGGGTTCCATGAGTAAAAATGTCACAAGTGGCTGAAGAGCAGCAGCTTCATGCTGAAGGGACCCATTTCCTCTGATTCCAGAGCTCCACCATCTGGTCTCAAAAAGTTTTGCCCTCTGAGGGAATGGCTGAAGAGAGGTAGCCCCGTGCAACCTTGCTGAGAGAGAACTTTGCTGCAACCACAGTGATGCCTACTGACTTGGTGAGAGAGAGCTTTGCATCAGGTAGGTCCACAGCTCCTGAGGCTGCCTTGCAAGCCGTCCTGGGCACACTTCAGGAAAACATGATGATGCTGTAGGAGGTGGCTTTTAGGAATAGAACAGATGGCTCTTCTTCTCCTTTCAAGTCTTTTCTCCTCACCCCAAAGTCTCATGAGAGCATCAGTTTATAAATGCTACCATCTTTTTCTATCACCACCCTCCTGGAGGAGGAAGGTGAAGGTTTTACAACTATATGTGCTTGAGAGTAAGTATCAGGAAAGCTCTGTGTATTAACATAAAAGTTATTAAAATCAGGACTCCCAAGAAAATCCTGAGGTGATTGTAACCACCACTTACAGGTGAGTTTTGCTATTGTCCATTTATCACCTTTATGCTTTCTCACCCCTCTTAACTTCCAATGTGAAATTTAAAGTAGAAAGAAACTGAAAGAATTCTAATAGAGGCAGATGTCTCATAATTTTATATTTAATGTGGATAAACCCCTCTAGTTGAGATTTTATTTTTTTATAATTAAAATAATTGAAAGGGTATGCATAAGTATTTCTCAGCCTTTTAAAATCCATTATCTTTTAATAAACAAATTTGCATACCCATTCTATACTTTTATTATGAAATTTATTGCATTTCCAAATGTTTTTTGTGGTTTTTTTTTTAACATAAAGCTTAGTTAAGAATCATGCATAGACATTTATCTCTCAAAAGGGTAAAATAAGCTGACCCTTCAGCAGCTCCTTAACAGTTTAGTGTTAGAATGACAGCAGCAAATCGTTAGCTTTTCAAAGATCGTACCTAATCCAGTTCCCAGGTTAGAAGGTCAGGAAGAAAAAAAATTCCATCTTTCAAACATATGTGAAATAAAGTCTTTAGCAACAAACAGTTGAGTCCTAAATGCAGTCTGTGCAACAGCACATACCTTTGGCTATGTTCACACAGTAAACCATAGAAACACACTGGCTCTGATGGCTACCTGGATCAGACAGACTGATCCAGTAGTCTACTTAGTATAGTCACCGGTGGCTTCTTCAGTCAGGACTTTAGAGGTGCTTACCGTGCTCCCACAATCCAGGAAGGACATGCCCAATGCAATCAAACATAGCCAAATCTGAAAGACAAAATAGAGCCATTAGTCGTCACCAACCTCTCTGAAGAGCCTCTTACACACCGTGACTGCTCACACTGTACTGCTCACATGCAAACCTGCTCTATTCCTCGAGCATCAGCTTTGCCTATCTTCTATCACCAAGTCATTCTCCCAACCCAACAACCCCTTCAAAACATCCTGGAATTTCCTTCTTCAGCAACATTTTTCCATATTAGTTACAATACTAAGTTCTCCCTGCCCCTACTGCTTTGTTTGTAGCTTATTTCTTTTATTGGACTTGGAGTTCCCTCAAGACCACTTTTCTTCAGTCCTACCCTATTCCTTATGATGAGGGGAATGAATGACAGACTAATACAACTGAATAGTCTCCTAAACTGCTCTAAGAAGTATATGTTTTGGAGCTAAACAGCAGTAACCCATTCTAGAATCAGCCCTCAGCCTTAAAAACGGTCTTCAACAATCTATTGAGTCTCAGGACAACTAGGCACCTTCGTAACCAACTTGCACAAAGAAAGGATTCCCTTAACTTCTACAGCGAATTTTAAAAACAATTCCTGTCAAGGACATACTCAGTTACTTGGGTTTCCTTCGAGTAAGTCCCTAGATTATAGGGTCAGCATCATCTTGGTGTGCCCAAGGTTTACTGGGGAGCAAAAGAAAAGGGATGAATCAATCCAGGATATAGTTTTCCAACATTCACTAAAGTGCTTTTCTCAATCAAGTACCTAACCTGTGGCAGACAGTGGCATGGGCCTAGGTTAACTGTTATAAAGATCAACAGTGGGTTTCCAGCCTCCATCCTTAACCATTCTCTTCAGCAGATAGGGTATAAATTCTGCCGTCCCTAATCCTCAACCCTTGTATATTTCAGAGAAACCTGTACAGAACAGGGAGGTAGATGTGTTGTTGCTATAGCCCTTTTTCATTAATATAAATAATATTACAAAAGATTTGTAAAATAAGGAAAGAATATATCCATAATCCCACCATCTTAAGACAAGTACTATTACCGTTTTTATATAACTGACTCTAGAATTTTGAAAAAATTTTTTATTACCTAGGTATACATAATTCCGCATTACTTTTCTATGTGGTAATATAATCATTTTTAAAAAATATGTCTTTATTGATTTCAGAGAGAGGAAGGAGAGGGAGAGAGAGATAGAAACATCAATGATGAGAGTCATTGATCGGCTGCCTCCTGCACACCCCCTACTGGGGATCGAACCTGCAACCCGGGCATGTGCCCTGACCGGAAATTGAACCTCGATCTCCTGGATCAATGCTCAAATGCTGAGCCACAATAGCTGGACTTATAACCATCATTTTCAAATAATTCTAAAATAATTGAATGTGAGAATATAATTTTTTATTTATTTTCTTACTGGACAGCTATTAAGTGGCAGAGCTGAGAAGGGCTGTGAACCCACATGATCCACCCCAAAGCTCTGAAATCATACTGCACAGCCCCCTTCTCCAACCTCATCTATTCTACTCTTTATTTTCTATACTGTTCCTCTTCTTTTTAGTTCCTACTCTCTCATTAGGAATTATTAAGAATGGAAACTTGCCCGTCCGGGTGTGGCTCAGTGGTTGAGCATCAACCTAGGATCCAGGCGATCAGGATTTGATTCCCAGTCAGGGCACATACCCGGGTTGCGGGCTCAATCCCAGTCGGGGGCATGCACGAGGCAGCCGATCAATGACTCTCATCATTGATGTTTCTATCTCTCTCTCTCCCTCTCCTTTCCTCTCTCTAAAATCAATAAAGATATATTTTTAAAAAAGAAAAAAGAATGGAAACAAGGCAGAAGTGACAGAAAGATGATAGCTCTTTGGAACCAAATTTCATGGTTAAAAATAGTTTAAAAAAGTGTGTGTGGCCCAGCCCGGCGTGGTTCAGTGGTTGAGCATCGACCTAGGATCCAGGAGATCGGGGTTTGATTCCCGGTCAGGGCACATGCCCAGGTTGTAGGCTAGGCAGCCAATCAATGACTCTCTCATCATTGGTGTTTCTATCTCTCTCTCTTCCCCTCTTTTCCTCTCTCTGAAATCAATAAAGATATATTAAAAAAAAAAAAATGTGTGTGTGTGTGTATATATATAATTTAACCATAATTGATTTAATAATTTCATGTAAATTATCTCAGTAACCTGGAGACAGATTGCTATGTGCTCCTTTAGATCCTTTCTGGATGTTAGTCAGCCCCACCTCTGTCACCCCTTAATACCTATGCCCCTGCCCCCTCTTGACTGGACTTACCAAGTAAAACACGAAGCTCAGATAAGCCACACTGACCACAGCAGCCACCACATATAAAAACATATGTCCTAGACTCTGGACATAAATCACGACAAAGTACATGTTGATGGAACAGATGATAAGGACCAAGATCCCGCCTGCAATCTTCCAGCCTCTGTAAAAGAATCAGCAGAGTCACTGGTGGAACAGTCCAACCTATCCAGAAACAGAACAGGACATTGCATCTTGTGGGGCAGACAGGGCAGGAGTAAAAAGCATTTCAAAATAGTTGTGTTCCCCCTCCCAGGAGCATGCCTAAGCCTTTCCCTTCCCCCTCATCTTCCCCTACAGGCATATATCTCCTAAACTCTAAGGGACCCCAAGAGACTTGCAACAAGGGGAGCAATGGGCAGCAGCAGCTCCTCCCTGGCTAATCCCCTAAACCTGTCTCCAAGGCCTCCTTTTCTGACTTCTCAGTGAGCCAAAGTCACCCTGCCTAGGCTCTCCTGTTGCTTCTTCTAACCTAAGCCCTTCCTTGTGTCACTGTCCCCAGCTTCAATAAATGAACTCTCAAAAAAAAAAGGTTCTTAATGATTGAATGAGCCCAAATTAGACACAGATAGAGACAAAGAAGGAAAAAAATACTATCAAATAATACCCCTATTATTCAAGTCCCTAAAAATGCAACAAGTTATGAGTGTCCATAGAGAAGCAACAAATCATTTCAACTACCCTCAGATCCTTTAAAGATGTGTATATAAGGTATTAGCTTATGCCCCTCTTATTCAGGTCATTAACATGGAATTAAGATGCTTTACACTTCAGCGCTGGCTGGTGTGGCTCAGTTGGTTGGGCACTGTCCTGTGCACTGAAAAGTGGCCGGTTCTATTCCCAGTCAGGGCACAAGCTTGGGTTGCCAGCTCAATCCCCAGTAGGGGGGCATGCAGGAGGCAGCTTATCAATGTTAAAGTTCTCATATCGATGTTTCTCTCTCTCCCTCTCTCTAAAAGTCATTTAAAAATATTTATAAAAAAAGATGCTTTAGCCCTGGCAGGTGTTGCTCAGTGATTAGAGCAACAGCCTGCACACCAAAAGGTCACGGGTCCAATTCCTGGTCAAGGGCATATACCTGGGTTGCAGGCTTGATCCCTGGCCCTGGTTGGGGTGCATCCTGCGGAAGGCAACCAATTGATGTGTCTCTCTCACATTGATGTTTCTCTCCCCTCACCCCCTTCCACTCTCTCTAAATGCAAAAAAATATCCTTGGGTGAGGATTAACCAAAAAAAAAAAAAAGATGCTTTACACTTCAGTGGCTGAAGCTGAAGAGTTAAAGCCCTAAAACCTGGACTTTCTCCCTCAGAAAACAAAAATGTGCTCACCTTCCTTTACTACATTCAGTCTCCATTTTCTAGCCAAAGATCGAGGAGGTAGTGCTAGCAACCACCCCTCCAACCTCTATATGACTCGTTTTTTTGACTGGCCTACTTGATGAAGATACCCTTCTCCCACATAGCTTTGGGGAACTGAGAGGAGTACACTCACATTCCATTGGCAAAGTCACTCATTACTGGCCGCAAGCTTGTAAACGTGAGGATGGGTATGAGAGCAAAGGGAAGCTAGAAAAGGAAAAACTAAGATCAGATGGGGATACTGGTATCTCTTGTATCACCCCAGAGAGCAGCACTGTTAGTGAAAGGGAAACACAGACTCTGCCCCATCTACTCCATGAGAAATTAACTCCTATCATCCCAAATGCTCAAGCATTATGTTGAAATCTGTACAACTGTCATTAACCCAGCATCAATTATGATCATAAGTGTCTTTACAAATATTTGTATCTGCCTTGTCTTAATCTGCTTAGGACCTAGCAGTGTCCTATATGTCATTTAATACTTGCTTGGTCTAACGAAGAATAATTTTGTGTTTCATATATAATTATAGTTTATAATTCCCATTCAATAGGCTTAAAAAAAAACACACCAAGTCATTTCTAAAAGCCTTTTAGATGTCAGGGATTTCATACACATTTACTGCAGACCAAGACCATGCCTCTCTGTTCCTCTAAATTTTCCCCAGCACTTGGCACTAGGCTTGGTACCTAAGGGCAATACATAATGCTGCCTGACTAAATGGGATGTGAGTTTTCCCAGCTCTCTCCTCACCTGTAAGCTCTGCAGAACATTGAGGAAGTCATTCATCCCCGTTAGATGTTCTACATCTTGGAAGACAGCAACAAGCAGAGTAGGGATAATGGCAATAGAGCGGGTCAGAATCACTCGGGCAAAGCGTGACCATTTCAGGTTCAGGAATCCCTGGAAGAAAACACAGAAGCAGGATGAGTGTCTGGGACAGAAAACTAAAAAGTTTTGGAGAGGTTCAGGAAGACCTTAGAAGTATGGGATTAATAAGTAACAAAAGGGCCATTTCCTCTTCCTCTAGTCTATACCAGTCAAAACAGTACATACCTCCATGACAAACTGGCCAGAATAGGTTCCAGTCATGGTGGAGCTCTGTCCTGCGGCCAGGATCCCCACTGCCCAGATGTAGAGAGCAGCAGGCCCGAAGTAACATCCCAGAACAACACCCTGGGAGAGGCAGGGGGAAGCAGTGTGTGTCAGTGAACTGCTTAGAAAACATCCAAAAGAGCATTTCTTTTTCTTCTTTGCTATGCACCCACCTAAACCAACACACTGTCCCAGAAACTTGACTCAAGTCCTAATCTCATTCTAAAAGCTTTCACTTTAAATTTTTCACGATGGCCCTTCATTCCTCAGCCTAGTCTTTTCTCTTCTCCAAGCTCCTAAAGTCTTCATCCTCAACATATACCTTAAATTTTTTTTTTTTTTTAAAGTCTACACATTTCTCAAATTATACTGCTTAACACACTACTTTAAAAGATAACAGGAGTGAAAAGAAAGGTAAAATAAATTTGGCAAATGCTACATACATACGTATTCTACTCTTGAAGGTTCACGATGTAACTGGCATAAAAGGGACTGAGGCCCCAATGAAGACCACTTTACTAGGTACACTTTCTTTAACCACCCCAATTAACATCCTGTGGAACACTAAACTATCAACACAAGTTTGGGAACTGCTGAAACAATTCATGTTTTTCGCTGATCCTCTATTCCTTCTATGTAGTCCAAAATGCTGTCTAGCATCTGGATCTCTGAAATAAATGACACTCCAAAGGAAGATATGCTCAGCTAAGAAAAGACCAGATTCTATGCCAAGAATATTGATTTAGGCGCAAAGAACACAAATCTGAATAGGTTTACCCCTTTGTAGATGTCCACAGCCAGTGTTGAGTTATCAGCAGGAAAAAGGCCAGCATGGGGACTGCTGCTATTTCTACAGACTTCAATCTGGAAACGAAAGCAGTTTGGAGCAACTCTGATTTTCGAGGCAAGGAACAGAGAAGATGAGGTCTACAGATCACACACACATCATCTATGTCACACAGCCTGGAGGTAAGACTAGATATAGGTTGTGATGGGGCAGAGACGAGCAGCAAGTATCACTTGTCTTCTTCCTCCATAATCTTTCTGCACCCCCATGTCATCAAAAATATATACTGAGTTAGAGTGTGCATTGTTGAGTCATTTTAAATGATGACAGGAAAAGAGAGCCCTTAAGAAGGCTTCAAATATAAGAGGACACCCAGAATAGGGAGCAGAGCCAGGAGCCTGAGGTCCTATAGATGGGAAGCAAAATGGTGATCAAAACTAGACAGGCAATCAGGAACTTAGAAGACAGAATTCAAAATGAAAGTCTGTCCCAGCAACAGTCTCTGTTTTGTTTGTTGACTCCTCCCAACCTGTTTTCATCACCAAATGGCAGCCCTGGCAAGCAGGCTGGCAGTTAATAAACAGGAAACAAAGGGCCAAATAGATGTAAAGCCACTAACAAAATAGCATGAGGCAATCTTTAGTCTGAGACAATCTCCCTTATCAGCCAAAAGCAGGGGGAAAGGGGTCTAGGCTTTGTCAGCCCCCAGACTGTAGATTCTGACTAATGCAGTTACTTAGGGAACAGCATTGAGGCCACAGATCTATTTCCTCTGAGCTCCAAGTCATTGTCATATTTTCCTACCCCATTCCAGCCTTCACATTATCCTCACATTCACTACCACTCATGACCCTGGCTTACTCACCACCTGCTGGTTGGTTTTGTCAAAAAATGCTTCGGCAAAGACTGAGACGACAAAAACATTGATGATGAAGGAAACAAAGAGAGCAATGCAGGATTCAATGAAAAAGTACTTATTGGCTTCTCGAACTTCCTGCTTTTTGGCTCGGTTTACCTGCCTGGACTGGAGAAGATAATAGCAATAGTCATTTCCTTGACTATTTGGAACAAGTTTCCTCTTAATATTTCATGAGTTTAGAGACAACTGAAAGATTTCGAGGGAAAACAATTGACCAGGTGAAATATGAGAGAACTTGCTTACATCCTCATTTACTAAGTAACAGCATCGTGACCCTTGGATGACACTGCACATTACTCAAATAGGTAACAGAAACTAAGTGACTACTGAGCTCTCAGCTATTGTGGCTGGAAGAACAACAACAAAACCTGTCCTAAGGAGTGTATAATCTTAATTATAAAGGTCTCTGAAATCTCCCAGCAAACTATTGTGTAAGACTAACTGGTAAAATGTTGGTTGGGCTCTTTTCTCCTGACCTCAAGGCCACTCAGGGCTTTGAGATTAAAACACAAGAGACTTGGTGCACTTTCAGACTTTTTATGAACAACTTTAGTTCTAGTTTCTCTCTGGGGTTAGTTATCTCTGGTCATAAAACAGAGTCCAAATGTGTGGAGTTTATAAATGTCTAACTATGGAAAAATACCTTGCTCCTTCAGGGCCCTAACAGTTGTAAACTAAGTATGTGTCCCTTGCAATTAAAGGAAAAATCCCATGACCAATCTAGGAGGCCACTGTGATAAAGGCCTTGCTCACCTTGACTAAGGCAGAATGCAAGTACATGTTGTGTGGCATGATGACAGCTCCCACGATGCCCACAGCCTGCTGGATCTGTGGGGTGCCGCAGCCTGAGCAGGATGGCAGGAACATGCCCTTGAGTACCTCGCTCTGGCTGGGTCTCACTGTAACATACTACATATGAACATAACAACTATTAGCCTTTACTAGAACATGAGACCAAGGAAATAACAGTATTAGGAAACACTCAGCATCCTTTACTCCTTTCCTTACAATCCTGTCTTCTTCAACAACTACCTTGTATCCGCCTTGTCTTAACACCCTGGAATAACGAGGGATATAGAACCATTGTAAACCAAGCAGCATAAGGGTCTTGCTGCCAGAGAGCAGATTCAACACTGGGGTACCTGGATATTTTACATCATACTTTACATACACAAAATAGATGTAAAGAGACTATAATTAATATTGTAAAGAAATGAAATGGCTGCTGAGGGCCTCATTGATATTAATTTCACAGTAATTCCTATGAGACAGACCCAAGAAAAGAGTCAATTCTTAATTACCCACAGTTATGCCTCTGTTCATCTATGTTCATCTAAAAATCACTGTGTGCCCAGCCGGGCGTGGCTCAGCGGTTGAGCGTCGATCTGGGATCCAGGCGATCGGGGTTCGATTCCCGATTAGGGCACATGCCCGGGTTGTGGGCTCAATCAATGACTCTCTCATCATTGATGTTTCTATCTCTCTCTCCCTCTCCTGTCCTCTCTCTGAAATCAATAAAGATATATTTAAAAAATAAAAAAATAAAAATAAAAATCACTGTTTTGTCACTAGCATATGCTGACACATTCATAAACACTTTTCATACATACTGTTTCCTGGTTCAGCATTTCTCTTGAAAACCTTAGACCAAGCTGTATAATCTACTCATAGATTAAATATATTTTTCAAAGTCTAGCCAGGCCAATAAACAGAAATCAGTTAAATTGGACATAGAAAGGTGCTATTACCGCATATAATGGCACTGATTCCTAGGAGTGTCTGGGTTGGGACACAAACCAGAAAACATCTACTACATTCCCTACAGCTGCAATACAGAGAAAGTTCAAAGTGCAGTTAGCATAAACCAGAATGAGCAAAAACAGACCCCTTAAGTCAACAGCCAAGAATCACCCTGTAACACCCTCTCTAACCCTCTCCAAAGCTGTTCTGTTGCCCAGATGGCCAATTTGGAACCAGGAGGTCTAGTCTGGAAAGTCCTAGAAAGTCTAGTGTTTTTTCCATCACCATTTATCCCCTCTATGCCCTCTTCCACCTCCACCCACCCTCTAGTCATTTTTGACATAGAAGTCCCTGCAGACCTTCCTGGACTCTAGTCTTTGCTATATAGAAAATATTCCTTCAAAACTGGCCCAAGTGGCTTTTTCTTTCTTTTATTTTTTTTCCTTCTGCTTTACTTTATTAACATTTTTTATTTTACGTTGAATTTACTGCTGAGCCATAAGCTTTTGTTTCTTCAGGGATATCTTTTTCTTCTGTGGGACTTCCTCTTTTGGCTTAGAAACAATCTGCTCCTTTTCAGTAAGGATCGTCTCAATGTGGTAGGGAGAGCTCAGGTATGGAGTAATCCGCCCATGAGCTCTGTAAGTTCTGCACTGCATCTTGGGAACTTTGTTAACCTAGCTGTGCTCAATGACCAAAGAATCTACACTTAAACCCTTAAGTTCAGCATTACTCTCTGGCTTTTTAAGCATGTGCAGCAAAAATTTAGCAGTTTTTTTTGACCACTGACCATGTGTCCAGCCACACTGGCCTGGGCACACCTACCAACTCCACCATTGTCACAAACAGAATGCTTCTGTAAAGTGACATCCTTCAGATACTTGACGGCTTTTCTGATATGCATACCCTTGACGGCCTGGGCAGTTTCATAAGTGTTCTCAAAGTGAACACAAAGATTTGAACCTCTTGAGTTGCATGATTTTGCATGGTTTCTGGGTTAAGTGAAGAGCAAACTATTTTCAGAGGTCACCTCAGGCTCCTTACAAGAAGAGGAAGCAATTGGCTTTTTCTTAGCACATGCAATACACTTGAATGATCCTAGCATTATACTGTTTTTTATAACGAAGGCATAAAAATTTTTTTTGTTTTAAAAAGCTAATTAATAGCCTGGAATACTTGCCTCATATCCAAATGTGAGGGCCATAACAGTGATGAGAAAGCCAAAAAATGCTTCCAGCTTCCGCAAGCCTAAAGGGAAATGCAGCAATGAGTTCACAGGCGACAGACTTCCCCAACAGCCACAGGATGGAAAAGTAGCTTCTTTGTCTAACCCCTTCTTTCCCACTTTACTTACCATATTTGTCCAAAAAGAGAAATACAAAGGTATCTGCAATGGTGATGAGAACTCCACCCCATAGGGGAACCCTAGATCAGAGATAAGAAATGGAAATTAAAGGAAAGAAACACTGAGAAGCACTTTCTTCCCAAAAGCTCTCTATACAGACAACATTTAGAGAAGCAAGGACTTGGGGGAGAGGGGACAGTGGAAGGAGGCCAGGCCTTGGGTAGGTTAGGATCTCAGCACCAACTGAGTAATATTCACTCAAACTTGATGGTCTACTATGTTAGACATTTAGGACACAAGCTGAAAAGAATGGGTCTTACCCCTCAAGGAGCTCACTGCCTAGTAGAATAGTTTGACATACAAATAATTGTAATATACAATAATACACAAATAAAATACATACTGCATAACAGAAGTATATATAGCCCAACATGAGAACATGGAAGATACAGAGCCTACATCTGCCAGAAGAGAGGAAGGTAGTCCCAGAAAGGTTCCACAGAAAATATAATAAACTTGAGTTGAATCTTGAAAACTGAAAATAAGTTGGGTTTTTCTTTTTACATTTGCTTTGAAGTCTAGCAAAAAATCACTTTCTAGAGGGAAACCCCCTCACCTTCCTACAGACAGGAGATTGATGGCAATGGCTGAGCCAATAACTTCTTGCATATCTGAGCCAATGATAGCCAACTCCACCATCAGCCATAGGATAATCCGTGGGACCTAAACACCAAGCAGAAGAAAGACATGGTTCTAATTAATCATTTCTAAGAACTTCCCCCATAGTTTGGAATTCACATTTTAGAACGGACACATAAACAGCCCTTTATAAGCCTTCAGTCTAGCGATAAAGTATCAGAACCTAGATCCACCTGACCCATCATTGCACTGTGGGCCTAGCTAGAAAAGGCAAGCATGCATCTACATGGCAAAGCTTATGAGTCTAATCTTTGCAGCGACGGATCCTAATTTTTTCTCTTTCCCTTCCACTCAAGAGAGGAATGGAATTTCCATTTGTTAATTTCCTGTCTAAAAACAATCCTAAAAATCTTAGGGGGAAATAGGGATGCTAATATGGTCAAAGTATTATTCAGGAGAGAAGAGAAAATGACTGCAGAAGAAAATATCGATCCTGATTATAGCCAACGAGACAAAACAAGCATGAAAAGGCTGAGGTCATCCTTAATATAATAATAATAATACTATGGAAGCAAGTGAAAAAGGACAGATGCAAAGGGACTCAGGGCAAAATGGTTGGAATTGGGTGCTGTATAACAAAACAGGAAACTAATCTGGTCAAACAATGCAGATGAAAGACAAATTTAGTTAATGCTGGCTCACTGAGGTCAGAAAAAGAACACCTCCAGGTATTCACTACGCAAAAATTTGTCACCAAAAATAACTGTTGCCCGGCCGGGAGCGGCTCAGCGGTTGAGCATCGACCTGGGATCCAGGCGATCAGGGTTTGATTCCTGGTCAGGGCACATGCCCAGGTTGTGGGCTCGATCAATGACTCTCTCATCATTGATGTTTCTATCTATCTCTCTCCCTCTCCTTTCCTCTCTCTGAAATCAATAAAGATATATTAAAAAAAAAAACAAAAAAAAACTGTTAAGATATATAAAGAAAGAGAAGCTAAAAGAAATTATAAATTACCAAGGTTTTCTTTTAAGAAGCATATAAGGGGGAAAAAAAGATAAGGATACTTTCTCACAGCCAGGAAAGGAGATTAAACATTTAGGAAAAACCAGAGGTAGATCAGTAGCATCTTATCTAAAGATGATGCTAGGGTAAAGCTGTCTTCCAGACACAGGCTCCACTTCTGCATTAGGTGGCAGTGAGAAAGGCAAAACGTGCCCAGCCGGTGTGGCTCAGCAGTTGAGCATCTCTCTATTATCCTGGAGATGGTGAGATCGTGGTTCGAATCCCAGTCAGGGGACATGCCCTGGTGTGGGCTCGATCCCCAACAGGGGGTGTGTAGGAGGCAGCCAATCAATGACTCTCATCATTGATGTTTCTCTCTCTCTCCCCCTCCCCCCTGAAATCAATAAAAACATATTAAAAAAAAAAAAAAAAGGCCCAAAGTGTCCAGAAGGAAGATGAAGAGAACAGTGTAACATCCAGGGTCAGGGTAAATTGAAAAATAATTACCAACAAATCCAAAGATCCTGCCACAAATAGTTTGTATTATAAGAAAGAAACATACTTTTTTCTAATTGTTAGCAAAGTCAAACAAAAAGAAAACATGTATAATGCAAAGTGATAGAGTAATATGAATGTGTGAATGAAAGTGCTTAGAGAGCAGCCCCCACCCCTCCATGGGCTGCGCACTATTAGATGCCAGAAGGCAGAGTGAATGGTAACTGTTTACTCAAACAGAATTTTTCCAAGGAAAATTTCTGGAAAAAAGTGAAGCTCAAGTTAGATTTTGAAGGAGTATAGAAATGTGGCTTGGTAGCAAGAGGGGACTCGAGAACTTCCCTTGGGACTCCCACTCCTCAGGGCCACTAACCTCCAAGTCCTCCACTGTTTCAGTATACAGTAGTAGGGTCAGCACATACTGTCAGGCACACAGATTCCTATGATGTGAGTTACAGACAAACAGGACAGTACACTGCTCACCTTGGGATACTGACGGTGACACACTTCGGCAAGATGCAGCCCAGTTACCACTCCCAGTCTAGCTGCAAGGCGCTGCAAAAGGAGTCCCACGATGGTGGCCAACAGAAGAACCCAGAGCAACTAGAGAAGAACAAAATCCCACCATAACACTCAGAGACAGCTGAGGTTTTTTTGTTTGGTTGTTTGGCAATGTGAATGGGAAGCACTACACTCAGGAAAGAGCCCAGGTCAGGAATCAAATGACCTGAGTTCTGGATCAGGCTCTGCACATAACCTGGTATGTTTCCTTATACCTCTCTGAACCTCAGTTTCTCCCATCTGCAGTTTCTCCTTTATTCAAGGAAATTATGTAGATGAAATAAAAAAAAAAAAAACAGATGGGAAAGTGACACTTTTCACTTAAGTGTCACTACCAATGAACATTTGCATGTAGGTCCAGAGGTTGATATCCACCAGGCAGAGTAGAGAAAAAGGATGTGAAAGTGTGTTGTGTGTGTATTTAAAGGGACACGGGTAGAACTAGACGTTTACCTTAAACCCAGCCACTGCTCCAGACTGCAAATCAGATTCGATGTTTCCTGGATCCAGGTAGGCAATGCTCATAAGAAAACCCGGTCCCGTGAAAGCCCAGAGTTTACGAAAGCTAAAACAAGAGTACTATAGGAGAGGGAAAGAGATCAAACTGATTATCACCTCCAAACTACTGATCTATTTTATCACATACAAAGCAACAACATCAGCAGCACAAGAACAAAGGATTTAGTTTGTTGGATTCTGGGTGTGTCCAAGTTTCATATCCATCTTATTCACTTCTTATCAACAAGCTGGCCACCTCTCTATCCCAATAAGAGCCTTTTCCTTACCTGCTCTTTTCCATCAGCCTCTCATTTTAAAACCAGAGTAACAATATCAGTACTTCCGTGCCCAACCACTACCCAAATGGGACAAAAGCCATCGTAAAAAAGGAACATAAATCTCATACTTCCTTAATCGAAAAATGCTCACTAATACAACTTGGCAACAAGTTTTCAAGACCCTTGGTTTCCTTAAAAGTTTCTATTTATTCTGATTTTTTAAATTCAGTCTTCAGAGACTGCTTGTCAAAATTAGATCTGAGGCTGTTGATCTTGAGTTGTCCAGCAAATTTTTCACTCATGTTTTCCCTACTCATATTTTCTTCCAAGGACCTGTCACTAACCTCCTCCTCAGGAATGGGAACCTTCTCATCAAAATAGGTGGTGAAGGGGTCCTCTGAGGTCCCGGTGGATTGTGGAAGAGAGGAGTTACTGTAGGCAGGGTTGATGGCACCAAGACTGGCAGAGTCCCCATGATCTTCAGAAACATCATCTGAATGAACAGATTTGAAAAGAACTTTTTAAAAAATGAGCAAACTAACAATTTATCCATAGTAATACTAAAATTAAATCTTTCTAATACCCTAAAGGCACATGAGCAAACTGACTGTATCTCAATTTATTTCTAATACTTTATTCTTACTAATTTAAAAAAATTTTTTTTTAATCCTCACCTGAGGATATGTTTTTATTGATTTTAGAAAGAGGAAGAGAGAGAGAGAAAGAAACACTGATGTAAGAAACATCACCCCAACTGGGGATTGAACCCCTCAACCTTTTGGATATGGGACAATGCTCCAACCAACTGAGCCATCTAGCCAGGAAAACAAATTAATTTTTGAATAAGCAATACAGTCACATGATTGAAAATTTGAGAAATATAAAAAAGCTTACGGTAAAAAAGCTCCCTGTCACCCCCATCCCCAGTCACTCAGCTCTAGATCAGTTTAAACACTAATCTCGCAATGGTTTTCCTACTTTCATCCTTCTATTCTCACTTGGCAATTTTTAGAATCATTTCATTTTCTTCTACACACTGATGTCTAGGCTCAAAATATAACATTCCCAGACTAGCCTCTTTGGTAACCTAAAATCCTAACTTTTAGAAGAAATTAAGTCAATCTAGTGAAACACCACCACCACCACTCCTCCCAATATTTGGTAGGACTTACTCAAAGAAACATCCTTGGACATTATACCTCTGTCAGGCTTCTCAAAAAATGTGGAAGTTGCAAAATCCTGTCACAGTTCAGGCTAAAATCTGAAGCTGCAGGGAAACCACCAAGCAGGAACCCCTTTGCCTCCTGACTAATGCCTGCAGTAAAGAGCTGCGCGGGTCACAGGGTGACCCTCGTGATAGGACAGCTCATCTAAGACTGATATCAGTGTTTCCCTGACCCTGGCATTTTGCAGCTAATCTTAAATGCCGGGAGGGGAAGAAAAGAGCCAATCTGCTAAAACGATACAAAACCCAGGCTTGCTGTAGCCATCAAATGGCTATTTTGAACCACAAAGCTCTAACCTCAGTGTTTCCAAGAAATGCTTACAACCTCTAATTACAAAATCAAAAGTTTTCTTTCTATAGGTAGCTAACCCACTTTACCTTAAGTGGCCCTAAACTGATTAAGAAATTTATAAAAAAGGAATGGAAATTCTAAACGGGAAATTTAGAATTAGGAAGGGTCAATCAAAGTAGTCAAGAAGCTCTAATCAAACACACAGTATAAGGTACACACTCAGTATTTTACTGCTCCATACATATCTGAAATGTCATCAGCAGCCAAAGCACTCTAGAGGTTTTTATGACAGGTCTGTATTACTGCTTTTGCAAGCATTACTGCTATAGAAACCAAACTTGTAGCTAATCTTGGCTCATCTCAGAACTGGAAACAAGATGAGGCAGATCTCTGTGGTTATAAATCCATTTTCATTTACAGCCTAAGTCTGGTGACTTCTGAATGGAGCAGATCTCCATGAAGATATTGTTGGCTGGGGGAGAGCAAATGGGGACAATTTTTGTTGGAATAGATGAGAAGGAAAATATGGTAAATTTCTGTTACTGACTTAAGCCTAATTCCAAATAAAAATAAGACAACAACACAAAAATTATAAATTACCATCTGGCATCTTCTGTTCAGGCCCCAACACCATAGTGTTCTTAGAATAGGATTCTGGAAAGTAGAAAAGGGAGAGAGAGGAATTAATAAGAACAAACTAACAAGTTCAGAAACAGCATTTTGTACTCTGTACAACCAAACCCTTACTATCTGAAAAGAATAACTCTTCTATTGAATTAGATAACCTTGAAAATAACTACAGTTTTCAGAGTATGAGTAAGAGATACTTAATAAAAAGTAAAGTCTTAACCATGTTTTTACTGGCAAGACTTCAAAACCAAATTGGAGGAAGAGGTATTACAGAGAAGCGGGCAAATGTTTGTTTTTTAGAAGCAGGTCCTCTAGAATGGTTTAGCACCAGGTTTCCCATGAACGTGCATTGCATGACAGGGAAGGGGGCATCAACCAGTCAGCGACGTACCGGCCAGTCCAACATTCGAGGCAAATGCTTTTGAATAAACTTCCACACAAGGGGCTGCTAGGCAATCACCCAGTCCCTGCTGTGCCTCCAGATTAACCCAATTTAAAACCAGACTGATTTCTCCTATTGTTCTAAGTTTTTAAGCAAGTTTTTAAAAAACTGATTGACTAATTTGAGAGAGAGGAAGGGGGAAAGAGAGAGAAACCGATTTGTTGTTCCATTTATTTATGCATTCACTGGTTGATACTTATATGTGTCCTGACGGGGGATGGAACTGGCAACCTTGACCTATGGGGATAACGCTCTAACCAACTAAGCTCCTGGGCCAGGGCCCCATTTTTACGAGTTTAAGGGCAGAGATCTATAACTCTCTCTGATCTACCAATTTAAGCTTGAGAAATAGAGTGAAGAAATAAAAGAAGCTGCTAAATCATTAACTTCAAATAGGCTGAGGCATCAAAAAAATAAACACTCTTGTTTTGACTCTGGAAACTTAAGTTTTTGAACTTTCCAGTCCTACCTGAATATATCAGTGCACTGTGCTTTGATGCCTCCAGTTAACCATCTGAATAACCTCAAAAAGAAAATGTTCCATTGTCTAAACCACTAGACATCAGACAATTGCCATCTTGGACCAATGTAGGGGCTATGAAAGCAGAACTGATTCTTCTCAAGAATGCACATTTTACTATAAAACTCTCAGACTTTTCTTTCTCCTTGGGAACACTCTTGGAATTGCCTAGTTGGGAGGCTCTGACTAGCAATAAATGACAAAGATTTATTCAAGGATCTTATGCTTCAATTTTCTGGAAAGGGGGGGAAAAGCACCTCACCAGCATACTGGTAGTGGAGGGCCACTATTTCCCAGTTTCATATTTCCCCAGGGAGAGACTTCAGCTATAATGTTTCAGGTCTCATTTCCCAACCCTTCAAAAACTGGGAGAAGAAACTAATGACCATGGCCCTCCCCTCCCGGGTTTTCAGGGAGAGCTGAAGCACCAGGAGGGTCAGGCATGGTCTGCAAGATGCCAGCACTTCTCTTAGTCCTGCAATAAACAACCTGCGGGGATGAGGAGGTAGGTGTCTGAAATGTCCAGTATTCTGTTGGATTAAGTTCAACTGAGGGTAAAGGCGTATCAGTAAGCCCATTTGGCCACATATCTGTTGTGTATTTTCCAGTCAATCCCACCAATAAGGTTGATTTTAAAATGTTTGATCTACTGATTAAGGAATCCACTTCTCGGTCAATTCCAAATTCAGAAGGAGAAAGATGAGGTAATAACTATCCTACTGAAAAAGGTATGAAGCCTCCCCTTAGCTATCTTTTACTGTTTAAATTGTATTTTCCACTCTTGTCCCTTTCTCCCTCCAAACTGAACAGTCCTCCACTTTCTATTTTAGATTATCTTCTATCTACCAATATAGTCTATACTATACCTATCTTATAGAATTACAGAATTCAGACTCAAAGGGGGTTTTAGGTTTCATCTATACTCTGGGGTGTAAAACATACCACCACTTGCTAATTTGGAAAACATTCTTCATCTCTACTATAACCAGTATCACGTGTTTTGTTATAATGTACAACTAGTCATGTCCCTCCTATCACGTTTTGAGCCACCAAATAGCTAAACACCTGCAACAGACCCCAATAACACTGACTAAATCCAACCCCTCTTTCAGTCAGTTATAATAGCTCCTCACCTAACTGGGATTTACATCTGACAACATCTGACAACACAGAGTAGCAGTAGCCACTTGGCTTCCAATCACAGCACAGCCCCTTGGCACCACCCAGAGACTTTTTACTTTTATTTTACATATAATTCTAAGAAGCCAGGTAATCAGGTTACCCTAGTCCACAATAAATTAGAAACCACAAATGAGATCTGGGATTAAGGCTCTTATAGGAGAAGGTTTTGGGCTATTTGGTAAGAGGCAAAGAGCCTTTCCTTATACTTCCATTAGCTCTGAGAACATTATTATTAAGAATAATTATTTTTTATTAATTATATAGTTAATATTATATTATTATTAAGAATAACTCAAGTTACTTAACTGTGGCCTACTCACCAAGAACTGATTAGATTATTTTTGTAGTGATGCATAATATCCTATTTAAGACGACACACAAGTGCTTTATACATTTGAGGAAGATTCCAATCAAAATAGGCTACTTAACTTATATTTTAAAATAGCAAACAACTGAGGCATGCTCACCCTTTCAGGAGCATGCCCACGCCATTCTCTTCCCCCTCTTCCTTCCCCACAGGTGTGCCTCTCCTAAACTAAGGGACCCCATGAGATTTGCAATCAGGGGAGCAATGGGCAGTGGCAACTTCTCCCAAGCTAACCTCCTGAACCTGTCTCCAAGGCCTCATTTTCTCTGACTCCAATGAGCTGACAGCAGTCCCACCTTGGCTCTGTCCTTTCCTATAACATTTCTAGACAGCCAAAGCAGCCCACCTAGGCTCTCAACTATTGCTTCTTCTATCCTAAGCCCTTCCTTGTTTCACTGTCCCCAGCTTTAATAAATGTACTTCAAAATAAATAAATAAATAAATAAACAATAAATTTTAAAGCAAATAATTGAGATAGTAGTGTTTTTCCCCAAGCTTGTAGTCTGCAAAGGTGATAGTTAAATAATAACTGTAGACAGAAATATTTCATGATAAAAATCTTAGCCCTGCCCAGCCGGGTGTGGCTCAGCGGTTGAGCGTTGACCTAGGATCCAGGAGATCGCAGTTCGATTCTCAGTCAGAGCACATGCCCAAGTTGCGGGCTTGATCCCCAGTTGGGTGCGTGCAGGAGGCAGCCGATCAATGATGACTCTCTCATCACTGATGTTTCTCTCTCCCTCCTTCTTCCTTCCTCTCTCTGAAATCAATAAAGATATATTTTTTTAAAAAATCTTAGCCCTGGCCAATGTGGCTCAATGGTCAGAGTGTCAGCCAGTGCACCGAAGGGTCCTGTGTTCGATTCCCGGTCAGGGGCGCATACCTGGATTGCGGGTTCAATCCCAGACCCTGGCCCAAGCCCATGCAAGAGGCAGCTGATGAATGTGTCTCTCTCGCATCAATGTTTCTCCCCCCCTTTCTCTCTCTTTCTCTCCCCCTCCCTCCCTCCTTTCCATTCTCTCTACAAATCAATGGAAAAAATATCCTCCAGTGAGGATCAACAAACAAACAAACAAACAAAAAAGCTGTAAGACTTTTACAGTATAAACATGCTAATGAAATTAAATTTTCTGTCTAAAATGTTAAGTCTACATATCCTTTGACCTAGCAATTCAACTTCTAAGAATGCATCCTAAAGAAACACTCACATAAGTAAGTACATATTTCCCATTGCACTGTTTGTAGTATCAAAAGACTGTAATATCAAAAACCACCCAGATATTAGTAGGGGACTGGTTAAATAAACTATGAACATTCATATGATGGAATACCATGCAGCTATTATAAATAAGGCAGATCTATAGATATTGGTAGGAAATAATCTCCAAGATATGCTGTCAAGTAAAAAAACCCAATTTATAGAACAGTGTGCTATCACTTATGTAGCCAAAAAAAAAGAATACACACATGTACACATACATACTATCTCCAAAGGACAATATGTCAAAAATTGGTAATGCTGTCCCAAAGACAAAGAAGTGGGGAGCCCAAATAAGGTCAGGTAAAAGGAAGGCTTCTCACTGAATATATACCATATACCGTTTTGTTCTTTAAAAATTATTTTTACCGCCTGGCCATGTGTGGCTCAGCAGCTGAGCATCAACCTAGGATCCAGGAGATGGAGGTTTCATTCCCAGTCAGGGCACATGCCCGGGTTGCAGGCTCGATCTCCAGTCAGGGGCGTGCAGGAGGCAGCCGATCAATGACTCTCTCATTATTGATGTTTCTCTCTCTCTTTTCTTCTCCCTTCCTCTCTCTCTGAAATCAATAAAGATATATATATATTTTAAATTATTTTTACCATGTGCATGTATTATTTTTTTTTAATGTATAAGGATTATATGGATTCGATTTTTTTTCACTTTCAATATTATTTTGTATTGGTTTCAGGTGTGCAGCATAGTGGTTAGACACTCATATGCTTTACAAAGCATTCCCCCTGATATTTCCAGTACCAACCTGGCACTATACATAGTTATGGCAATATTATTGACTATATTCCCTGTGTTGTACTTTACATCCCTGTGACTATTTTGTAGCTACCAATTTGTATTTCTTAATCTCTTCACCTCTTTTCATCCTGCTCCCCAACTCTCCTCCCCTCTAATAACTGTCAATCAATCTGTTCTCTGTGTCTATGAGTCTGTTTTAATTTTGTTTTTTCATTTATTTTGTTCTTTAAATTCCACATATAAGTGAAATCATATGGTATTTGTCTTTCTCTGACTGACTTATTTCATCAAGCATAATACCCTCTAGGTCCATCCATGCTGTGGCAAATGGTTGGATTCGCTTCCTTGTTTTTTTACAGGTTGAAGTAAAAGATTATTTTTACTTAGCAAGAAAACACCTCAAACTTGTATAAATGAATAACAGACAACCATAAAACCATAATTTCAAGTTTTTCTAATAATGTAGTTCTAAGAGAAACATTTTAAAGAAAAATAATAATAAAC